CAAACGGTCCTGCGGGCTGTGAATGACACTGACGCGATCAAAAATGGAACATCGCTTAGAGAATCTCGAGCAAAACGTGAGCAACATCGAGCAGAAACTGGAACGTAACAGCACAGAGGTGCGATCGATAGCAGACAAGTTGGATGGGGTGATGGCCGAGCTTCGCCGTCTCGCGAACAACCAGAGTCATCGGCAATCCAGGAGTAGGTCGCGGTCGACTAAGCGAACCGATGCACACTCTCGGACAGGATCTTCGCAATCTGGAGGTGATTCTCATAGTGCGGCCGTTGATTCTCGCGAACCACATATTTCTCGTGCTAAGCGAGGAATTGAGAGAACCGGAAGGAAAGTGGATCTTCCTCTATTCAACGGAGAGGATGTTAATGGATGGATTATTAGAGTGGAACGTTTTTTCAAGTTGAATCTGGTGCACGATCATGAAAAAGTGGAGCTAGTTGTCCTGGCCATGGAGGAAAAGGCATTGAACTGGTTCCAATGGTGGGAGGAACAAAACAAGGAGAAAACATGGGAGAAATTCAAAGGAGCTTTGATACGGAGATTTCAACCAGAGCTGGTGCAGAATCCTTTTGGGCCTATGCTAAGCCTTAAACAGACTGGATCGGTGATGGAATATAGAGAACATTATGAACGAGTGGCAGGTCCAATGAAGCATACTGACGAGGAAATGCTCAAAGGAATTTACCTTAATGGCCTGAAGGAAGAAGTGAAGGCTGAGCTCAAGCTATACCCAAATGCTGCCCTTCCTGAACTGATGGATATCTCTCTGGTGTTAGAAGGGAAGAATGCTGCATTTCGAGGGGAAAAATATCAGGTTGGGGACCAGAGGAATGGAAAGGAGAAGGGAGAGACACTGAAGAAACCTCAACAGTGGATAGATGGAAGCAAATGGAGATCACAGACCAATATTCAATCATCTCAGGAAAAGGCTGGGGGTGAGCCTAAGATGGGAGTGAAACCGGAACTCAACAATAACTGGAAGGGTGGCCAGAGACTAACACAAGCAGAATTACAAGAAAGAAGCAAGAAGGGGCTGTGTTTCAAATGTGGGGAAAGATGGGGCAAGGAACATATCTGCAAAATGAAATACTACCAGTTTATTCTCATGGAGGGGCCTGAGGAAGAAGCAGAAGAAATGGAACCAGAAATGGATTCGAAAGAGCCAGAAAACTCTCGAGAACCACAACAAATGCTATTGTCAGCCATGAGCAAACAGGGGATCACTACACAGAAGACTTTCAAGTTGGAAGGGAAGTTGATGGGAGATGGGCTAAACAGATCCGTGCTGATCTTGATTGACAGTGGAGCCACCCATAACTTCATATCACAAGCCTTAGTGGAAGAATTACAATTGCCCTACATCCAGATTGAAGGATTTCAAGTGGAACTGGGTAATGGAGACAGAGTGAGCAACAATAGGAGATGTGTGGGGTTGCAGGTTGGAGTACAAGGTCTTGATATTATACAGAATTTCTACCTGTTGGAGCTGGGTGGAACTGACCTAGTGTTTGGGGTTGAATGGCTAGCCAGTTTGGGAAATGTAGTGATAAATTTCCAAGAACTAACACTTAAGTGGTGTGAAGAGGGGAGATTAAAGAGCTTAAAAGGAGACCCAACTTTAAGTCAAGTGCAAGTTTCGTGGAAGGCACTGGTAAAAGCTCTCCAAAGAGAAGGCCAAGGATTTTATGTGACTTGTGGGAACTCTCAGGAGGACTCTGTAAATGGAGCTGCACCAGGAGAATTTTGGCAGGAAGTGTTGGACAAGCATAAGGAGGTTTTCCAAATGCCAAAGGGGTTACCTCCTAAACGCAGTTGTGATCATGCTATCAACATTAGGGAAGGTGCTGAAATACCTAACATACGACCCTACAGGTACCCTCACTACCAAAAAGATGAAATAGAGAAAATTGTGAAGGAGTTGCTAAATACAGGGATCATCCAGCCCAGCACCAGCCCTTATAGTAGTCATGTGCTCTTGGTTAAGAAGAAGGATGGTGGATGGAGGTTCTGCGGTGACTACAGGGTCCTGAACAGGATCACAATACCAAACAAGTTCCCCATACCCATAATTGAAGAGTTACTGGATGAATTGGGAGGAGCCAGGGTATTTTCTAAACTTGATCTTAAATCCGGCTACCATCAGATCAGAATGAAAGAAGAGGATAGACACAAGACGGCTTTTCGAACGCATGAAGGTCACTACGAGTACCTGGTAATGCCGTTTGGATTGACTAATGCACCTTCCACTTTTCAAGCTTTGATGAATCAGATTTTAAGGAAGTATTTGAGGAAGTTTGCTTTAGTATTTTTTGATGACATACTGATCTACAGTCCTTCAGAATATGAACACAAAGAACACTTGAGTACCATCCTCCAGTTACTGAGAGACAACCAATTGTATGCTAATCATAAGAAGTGTATAATAGGGCAGAAACAATTATCCTACTTGGGTCATATAATCTCTGGAGAAGGAGTAGCCGCTGACCCGGGCAAGGTGGTGGACATATTGGACTGGCCTGAACCTAAAGAAGTCAAAGGATTGAGAGGATTTTTGGGCTTAACGGGTTATTACAGGAGGTTCGTACAAGGGTATAGTAAGATTGCAGCCCCCCTGACAAACCTATTAAAGAAAGATGCATTTAAATGGAACCCCGAGGCTTCTCAGGCTTTTGAACAGTTAAAGAAAGCTATGACAACTTTACCTGTTCTCAGGGTTCCTGATTTTACCAAGACTTTTGTTGTTGAGGCAGATGCTTCCGGGACAGGTGTAGGAGCAGTTCTGATGCAGGAAGGGAGGCCTGTGGCGTATATGAGCAAGGTTTTATCTCAGAGGAACCAAGGCAAATCTGTGTACGAGAGAGAATTGATTGCAATCGTCTTGGCTATCCAAAAATGGAGACCTTATCTCTTAGGCAGGATCTTCGAGGTGCATACTGATCAGAAAAGCCTAAGGTTTTTAACAGAGCAGAGACTGATGGGGGAAGAACAACAAAAGTGGGTTGCCAAGCTTCTGGGATACAACTTTGTTATTAAATACAAACCCGGCAGTGAGAATAAGGCAGCAGATGCCCTATCCAGAAAGAGTAGTATACACAGTTTGTCCATTGTTACTTGCCAAGAGTGGCAAGGGCTAGAAGAGGAATTGAAGGCAGACCCGAAATATCAGAATATCATACAAACCATAATGGGAAATCCAGCAAGTATACCAGATTTCAAGTTCAGAAATGGTTTATTGTACTATCAAGGAAGATTGGTACTACCCAAGCAATCTTCTCGAATACCTTTAATATTGAAAGAATTCCATGATTCTGCAATTGGAGGGCATGCCGGGGCTTTCAGAACTATGAAAAGAGTATCTGGTTTATTCTATTGGGTTGGCATGAGAAAGGACATCCAAGATTATGTGCAAGGATGTGAAGTATGCCAAAGGAACAAGTACCAGACCCTCAGTCCAGCAGGGTTATTGCAACCTTTGCCCATCCCTGACAGAATATGGGAAGATATCAGCATGGACTTTATTGGAGGGCTGCCCAAGGCTCAAGGGAAGGATACAATTTTGGTGATCGTGGATCGGCTAACCAAATATGCTCACTTCATAGCTCTTGTTCACCCTTATACAGCCAAGGAGGTGGCAGAAGTCTTTGTTCAGGAGGTGGTACGGTTACATGGATTTCCCAAGTCCATAGTATCGGACAGGGATAGGGTCTTCTTGAGTTCTTTTTGGGCAGAACTGTTTAAGATGGCAGGCACCCAACTGAAGTACAGCACAGCGTACCACCCTCAAACGGACGGCCAAACTGAGGTGGTAAACAGGTGCTTAGAGACATATTTGAGATGTATCACCGGACTGAAGCCTAAACAGTGGCCTAAATGGCTCTCCTGGGCCGAATATTGGTACAATACCAATTATCACATTTCCATCAAGAATACGCCCTACAAGGCCCTATATGGACAAGATCCCCCCGCTATTGTGAGAGGAGATGTAACTTTGTCCTCAGTAGAAGAAGTCAACAAGTTGACGGCGGAAAGGAATTTAATACTGGATGAATTGAAGACCAGTTTAGCTATGGCCCAAAACAGAATGAAGCAGCAGGCTGATAAACATAGACGGCCCTTACAAGTGGAGGTGGGAGACATGGTATTCTTAAAAATTCAGCCTTATAAAATGAAAAGTTTAGCTAAACGGTTGAATCAGAAGTTGAGCCCAAGATTCTATGGGCCGTTTGAGGTGATAGAAAAGATAAACCCAGTGGCATTTAAACTGAAACTACCTGAGGGGTGCACCGTGCATCCGGTGTTCCATATCTCTTTACTCAAGAAGGCAGTATCTCCTAACATACCCTGCCAGCCCCTACCTACATGCATTTCAGAAGAATGGGAGTTACAAGTTCAGCCTGAAGAAGTGGTGGATTACAGAGTGAATCCTGATGGGCAGAAGGAAGTGCTAATTCATTGGAAGCAGCTGCCAGCTTTTGAGGATTCTTGGGAAGATTTAAACAAGTTTCAGAAGCAGTTTCCAACATTCCACCTTGGGGACAAGGTGGTAGTTCAAGGGGAGGGTAATGATAGCACAAGGGGTGTAGAATATTTTGATAGGGTGTATGTAAGAAGGGGAAGGAGGAACGGGAATAGTCGGGAATAATTAATGAGCGGGTTTGTTTGCTATATATATGTTAGGGTGGGAAATAAGAGGGACAGGCTGGAATTCAGTAAGTCTTGGCTGGGCTTTGGGGCTAGAGAGAGAAACCCACTATCTTTCTCTAGATTGGACTGTTCTTGTTATTTTACGTCTCTTTTATTAATAAAATACTGCAACTATTACCGATTATTAGCTTGACTAACAATAACTTTGAAGATTGGCTCCTTGTTCAGAATCACAGTTTTAGTTAAATAGTTTAACACATGTTAAAATTGTAACACCCGCACTTGAAGAAAAGGAATCACACGTCAAGCAAATACGCATATGATAATCAACCAGATACCTAAATAGTTCATCGTGATCAGTGCAGTATCTACTTTGATCCTCGCCTCCCTAAACCACAATCGCAGAAAATGATCCTTATTTTTCTAATGGTGACTACGAATGAATGAATGAATGAATGGTGACTACGAACGAACGAACGCACGCACGCACGCACGAACGAACGAACGAACGAATAATTAAATAAATAAATAAATAAATAAATAAATAAATAAATAAATAAATAAATAAATAAATAAATAAATAAATAAATAAATAAATAAATAAATAAATAAATAAATAAAACCTGAATAAAGTTCACAAATAGGACACGTTTTATTCTCAAAATAGGACTCATCAACTCCTATTTTATGAAGTTTTGATCAAATTTTTCTTCTAGTAGGAGTATATAAGTCCTACTCCCTCCGTTTCTATTTGTTTGACACACTTTCCTTTTTTTGGACGTTTCAAAATGAATGTTACACTTCCCATTTGGTAAACAAAACAAAGGACGTTTCAAAATGAATGTCACACTTCCCATTTGGTAAACAAAACATGCAAAGCAGTGTCCAAACCTTAAAATTTACCCCTAACTAAATTTTTTCCTTAATCCTTGAGAAGTCAAATTATGTCAAACAAATAAAAACGGAGGTAGTATTTATTTAGAGAATTAAACATACTTAATGCTAAATTGAACAGTTTCTAACGAATGAATGAATGAATAAGTAAATAGATAAATGATAAATGAAAGAGTAAAATCAGTGAAAGGGATACGAAGCAGAAAGAGAGAGAGACCATTTTACCTGCAAGAACACGAAGCCTTGAGAGGGACGAGAGAAAGAAGAGAGATTGGCTCGTAGAGAATTGAGGAGCTTCTCGCGGTTCACTGAGTGAAGTTCCATGCGAACCTCCGGTGGCGATAGAGAAGACGCCATGGTGGTTTGCTATCTCTCGCAGTCTGACGGCTATCGGAGTATCGGTTCTTGAGCGCCGTGTGTTCCTTCTCGACACCCTATATGGATTGTTGGTCTAAGGTCAAATTGGTCATTGGATTTTGGTTTTTGTATATATTTTATAACTACAAAACTCTAGTTTGGTCTGGTCTAGGATTAGGCCCGTCAATGAGTCGGTCCAGGCCGGAACGTAGTGTTCCAGATCCGGACTCGACTTGTATACTCGGCGAGTCTGGAAATTTGAACTCGGAATCAGGTCCAACGGGTCTCGAAATCGGGTTGGGTAGACACGTCAAGTATAATATGCACAACATTATAAATTTTCGGGAAATAACAAGACATGTACATGAAATGTAAAGCAAAGTGCGCAAACTTAAAAGCAAAACATATCTTTTCTTTTCAAAAAAACAAGGTTTCTCATAGAAAGATAATATTTTTATCCAATAAAGTATTGATTCTTGTAGAGGCGTATAAGCGTATTACTCCACACTCCATGTCTCTTTCTCTTGCACAAGACTATCGGTCCGTTACACCCGAGCTTTGACCCGACCAAGCTCAAAACACAGTCCGGCTAACGGATATTGGTCCGGGATTATTTAATTACTTATCGGCCTGGCTGTCCCATTAGCGTCATTATTAGTTGATAATTCGGACCAAGCCCATGTAGCATTTAATTGGTGGACATGTTGTATACGCCTATAAATAGGCCATCAAACCCTTGTATTCTCCCAAGTTATTTTCACTATACTGAAATGATGTTAGTTTCTCTACCTGAGATATTTTCTGCCAACAATAATGATATAATAATATTAATAATAATGATATTGGGTTATGCCTATATATCGAACCCAATGCACACTGATGGAGTCTAATCCAACTACGAAAGCTAAATCTACTTAGAGATATCGAAAATATGGCAGCGTAAGGCGGTTTTATTATTATTATGGAGGAACAACTGACCGATCGGAATCCCTTGGTAGAGAATATACAGGAAATATTTATAGACTTTAGGAGCTAGTATTTCAGAAGGAAACTGATACAATAAATGCTATTTAATGATATTCTATTCGAATGAGTCTCCTGAACGCCTGGGACGTTGCATAATGATTAACTCCTTTAAGTCCACGTTCCTTGTTGAATCCCGTCTGCTGCCAAATAGCTATGCTTGAATGATAGCCTGCCACGTAAACCCTAGGAATATCCCAGCCTCACTAGAACTCCGCCCAGACTCGAGGTCTGCTGTCCAGCCCGGCCTGGCTGTGGGTTCCTTTCGTGGGCTTGATTCCCATTTAGGCCCAGCGACTTATCTAATATTAATCCCGATAAGGGCTTGATCCCGTTTATGGGCTAATTCTGTTAATTAGGCTAATCCCATAGAGGGCTGATCTCGTTTATGGGATAATCCTGTTAATTAGGCATTTAGGCTAATCCCGTAGAGGGCTGATGTAACACTTGAGATTTAATATAAATGGATTAATAGTACTACTCATACTAACAAGATGCATCTCCTTTTAAGGGAGCTCCTCCACTAAGAACTCCAAGTTAAGCGTGCTTGCACGGGAGTAGTCTTGGAATGGGTGACCCCCTGGGAAGTTTCTCAGGGCACTCACGAGTGAGGACAAAGGCTAGTGGCGGTTTGTGGGGACAATACTAGAGGTCTGGAGTAACTACCTCGGGGCCTGCGGGGACAGTACTAGAGGTCTTGATAGTTGAATCAAGCAACTATCAAGAACAAGTATCCATTGCCACGAATTGACGACTTGTTTGATCAATTGAAGGGGGCTAGCACGTTCTCTAAGATAGACTTACGCTCTGGATATCATCAAGTGAGAATATCTGAAAAAGATGTACCAAAAACAGCATTCCGCACGAGGTATGGACACTACGAGTTCACTGTGATGCCGTTTGGTTTAACCAATGCCCCGGCGGTATGTTCATGGACCTAATGAACCGTGTATTCCGACCTTATCTTGATACATTTGTGGTGGTATTCATCGATGATATTCTTGTGTATTCAAAAACCCCGGAGGATCACGAGAAACACTTGAGACTCACGTTACAAACTTTGAGAGAGAATTAGTTGTATGCCAAACTCTCAAAGTGTGACTTCTGGCAGGATCGGGTAGCGTTCTTGGGTCACATCATCACCCAGGAAGGCGTATCCGTAGATCCATCGAAGGTTGAAGCGGTGGTTGAATGGCGTGCACCTACCTCGGTCACAGAGGTAAGAAGTTTCTTGGGATTAGCCGGTTACTATAGGAGATTTGTTAAAGATTTCTCCAAGATAGCAAGACCGCTAACCAACCTGACAAAGAAGACAACCAAGTTCCATTGGAATGAAGATTGTGAAGCAGCATTCCAAGAGTTGAAGAAAAGACTCACAACCGCGCCGGTCTTGACACTACCGTCAGGGACAGAGAGATTTGATATCTATAGTGATGCATCCAAGAAGGGGTTGGGGTGTGTGCTAATGCAAAATAGGAAAGTGGTGGCTTATGCATCAAGACAACTAAAGGTGCACTCAATCATGTATAGGTTGAGTGTGGCGGTGACACACCTGTTTTTCCATTAAAGACTTCCGCTGTACTCTAAATATGTTTTATAACAAATATGTTTTCATTTCAAAATGTTATTTTATTTTGGTGGGAAAAATGGGGGTGTTACAAGTTGGTATCAGAGCGCCTTAGGTTTTCCATAGGTAATAGGTTGTATGGAGAAATTCTGTCACCAAGACAATAAGAGTCTAAGGCTGTTGGTTCTTAATTGAGCCTTTGCGCTCGTCCAACTACCTGGGAATTTCTCATTGTGCTGAAACTTCGTCGTTCGAAATTGTTGAAGGAAACCTTTGAAATTGTACCTTCAAAAGGGAGATTTTCAAATAGTTTTAAGATTAGGAAAGATAATATAGCTAGGAAATGGCTTTTTAGGAACGTGGTGAGGACCTTGTGAGTATTTATTTTCCTTACATGTATCATGTATGTGATAATTATGCTAATTGTGGAAGCCGAACTCCTACCTTAAGTGTGCACACCCCCTAAAAGAGATTCCAAGCTCTCCGGGTAGTAAAAAGTCCGAGTAGTCGGGATTTTTCTACCGACTACTACAATTAAGCTGGGATACTCCACTTTTGGGAGATCCCTGGTGGAATTAGACTTATAGCCATTACCACTCACCAAATCCACATTTCTCTAGGTACTCACAAAATCATAATTCAATCTCAAAGTTCAAGTATCATAACTTCAATCAAAATGAATATGAAATCCGAATTCCTCAAAATTATTCACAATGAAATTATTAACTCCAACTCATCATACTCAAATATACCATAAATAATCCAAAATATAGGATACTTCATAAATAGCTCAAATCTCAAATCTCAATCCAATAACAATTCATATGTAAATTCAAATGCTCAAAATATCACCCAACATAAAATACTCAAATCTCAAATATATATAATTCACAATCACAATTGGTACGTGAAATCTCATTAACTATCATATACTCAATTGATCTCAAATAACTAGTCACAAATAAATTTATATGGGAAAAACATGAAATTTGGTTGACACAGTACTTACCCCAATCGTGACAAATCCTAACCGAAGCTTCTATCTTGACCTTCTCCAAATTCACCTTCCAGAATGTTAAAACTCTAGCATTAATAATTTATTTACTTTTAATAGATTAATTAGTCCAGTTATAATTTTCTGGTTATAACAACTTAATCTATTTTATTTATCATTATTGTAAACAATGATTGGATTATGTTTGGATTTAATTGGACTTGAATTCCATTGGTATTGAGGTGAATTGGTTTTGAGGCTCTGAGGTGAATTGGTTATGAGGCTTTGAGGTGATTTGGATTATTTGGTTGGACTTGATCGGGATGAATTGAATTATATTATATTGGATTATTTGAGTGTGTTATATTTTTTTGGATTGGGTTGAATTTGAGGTGGTTGAGATTATTAAATTATTTATGGATTTCCGAAGTAATACTTTTGGATTTGATTAAATATATGTACCTATATTTGGAATATTATTATTTTACATGTGATTTGTGATGGGAAGTTTGTATAAAGCGTTTCATAAGGTTTCCTCCCAAATGTTTTCACAAAATGATATATATGTATCAAACATGATTATTTTACAGGGTTGGGTGGGCCTTACTTAGCATTTCCAGCTAATTTTTGTTTCTTTGTGTTTTTCTTTCTATACTTTATTTGTGCAGGAATTGCGGATCATATTGAAGTTGATTTCGAGAGCTTCCGCTAGAACACATAGACTAAAGTGATTGAGTAATTTATTTTAGTCTTAATTTTAAAGAATTGTAGTTGAACAGTTAATTATGGAAAATTTTATTTTGTTGGTGGTGGATAGCCTGTGCACTCGGTTATGTGAGAACCGAGTGTGGCGGTAACGCCCCTGTTTCCCTTTGAATTTTCCGCTGCAAGACTCTGATGTTTTCGAATAAATCATTATTTACTTTGAATAAATCATTATTCAAATGTATTTTTGGGTGGGAAATTTGGGGGTGTTACAGCTGATCCCGTTTATGGGTTGGATTACGTAATTGGGCCATGGTCCGAGTCCATGGTACCATCAAGAGCCCCCTACTCCTCAAAATTAGCAGGGCTGAGTTTTGCAGGAGTAAAATGGAGCGGGTTATTGAATTTTGAATTCCGAATCTTTCATCAGTGACTGTAGCGCTGCTTTGCATTTATTGCGCTGATTTGACATAGGCCTGCCGCCTGGCTCGCCTTCCAATCTGCCTTTCCATTTCCCGACTACTCGAGTGCTTTTATCGCGATTTCCCAAGCGGTTTCGAAGCGGTTTCTATGGTTCCGAAGCGGTTCCCAGGTCGGTTAGGGCTTCACTATAAAGGTAAACTTCCTCCCCTTCAGAACTCCTCTGGTATTCACGCATTCTCTGAACCTTTAGGCAAAAATCAAATTTTACCATGTCTTCATCTAATTCTACCCCTTCTCCTATAATCCTAGTGGACTCCCAGGGAAAGGAGACTCATTTATAATATTCCGGCCAGTCGGGCTCGCGCCATTCCCGCCTTGGCTATCTCGGATACGGTGTTTGAGGC